ATCGGTGTCAGCTGCATACAGTAAGCGGTGTCGTCTGCATAAGGTAAGTGATGTCGGCTGCATACTAAAGCGGTGTCGACTGTATACATTAAGCGATGTCTTCTGCGTACAGTAAGCAGTGTCGTCTGCATACAGTAAGCAGTGGAGGCTGCAGAGTAAGCGGTGTCGTCTGCATACAGTAAATGAATATGTGTCGTCTGCATACAGTAACCGATGTCAGCTGCATACAGTAAGCAGTGTTGTCTGCATACAGGAAGCAGTGTCATCTGCATACATTAAACGAAGTTGGCTGTATACAGTACGCTGTGTCCTCTGCATACAGTAAGCGATGTCGGCTGCATACAGTAAGCAGTGTTGGCTGCATACAGTAAGCAGTGTCGGCTGCATACAGAAAGCGGTGTCGGCTGCATACAGTAAGCGATGTCGGCTGCATACAGTAAGCAATGTCGGCTGCATACAGTAAGCGATGTCATCTGCATACAGTAAGCGATGTCGGCTGCATACAGTAAGCAGTGTTGGCTGCATACAGTAAGCAGTGTCGGCTGCATACAGAAAGCGGTGTCAGCTGCATACAGTAAGCAGTATCATCTGCATAGAGTAAGCGCAGTCGGCTGCATACAGTAAGTGGTGTCGTCTGCATACAGTAAGCGATGTCGGCTGCATACAGTAAGCGATGTCGGCTGCATACAGTAAGCAATGTCGGCTGCATACAGTAAGCGATGTCGGCTGCATACAGTAAGCGATGTCATCTGCATACAGTAAGCGGTGTCATCTGCATACAGTAAGTGGTGTCGACTGCATATGGTAAGAAATGTCGTCAGCATACAGTAAGTGATGTCGTCTGCATACAGTAAGGGATGTCATCTGCATACAGTAAGCGATGTCGGCTGCATACAGTAAGTGATGTCAGCTGCATACAGTAAGCGGTGATGTCTGCATACAGTAAGCGTAGTCGTCTGCATACAGTAAGTGTTGTCGTCTGCATACAGTAAGCGGTGTCGTCTGCATACAGTAAGCGGTGTCCTCTGCATACAGTAAGCGGTGTCGTCAGCATACAGTAAGCTGTGTCGTCTGCATACAGTAAGTGATGTCATCAGCATACAGTAAGCAGTGTCATCTGCATACAGTAAGCGGTGTCGTCTCCATACAGTAAGCAGTACTGGATGCATACAGTAAGGGTGTCGTCAGCATATAGTAAGCTGTGTCGTCAGCATACAGTAAGCGATGTCAAGCTGCATACAGTAAGTGGTGTCGTCTCCATACAGTAAGCGGTGTCAGCTGCATACAGTTAGCGGTGTCGTCTGCATACAGTAAGCGTAGTCGTCTGCATACAGTAAGTATTGTCGTCTGCATACAATAAGCGGTGTCGTCTGCATACAGTAAGCGGTGTCGGCTGCATACAGTAAGTATTGTCGTCTGCATACAGTAAGCGGTGATGTCTGCATACAGTAAGCGTAGTCGTCTGCATACAGTAAGTATTGTCGTCTGCATACAGTAATCAGTGTCGTCTGCATACTGTAAGCGATGTTGGCTGCATACAGTAAGCAATGTCAGCTGCATACAGTAAGCGGTGTCGTCTGCATACAGTAAGCGTAGTCGTCTGCATACAGTAAGTATTGTTGTTTGCATACAGTAAGCGGTGTCGGCTGCATACAGTAAGCGATGTCAGCTGCGTATAGTAAGCGGTGTCGTCTGCATACAGTAAGCATAGTTGTCTGCATACAGTAAGTATTGTCGTCTGCATACAGTAAGCGGTGTCGTCTGCATACAGTAAGCGGTGTCGGCTGCATACATTAAGCGATGTCTTCTGCATACAGTAAGCGATGTCGTCTGCATACAGTAAGCGGTGTCGTCTGCATGCAGTAAGCGGTGTCATCTGCATACAGTAAGTGGTGTCGTCTGCATACAGTAAGCGGTGTCGGCTGCATACAGTAAGCGGTGTCGGCTGCATACAGTTAGCGATGTCGTCTGCATACAGTAAGCGATGTCGTCTGCATACAGTAAGCGGTGTCGGCTTCATAGAGTAAGTGGTGTCGGCTGCATACTGTAAGCGGTGTCGGCTGCATACAGTAAGTGGTGTCGGCTGCATACAGTAAGCGATGTCTTCTGCATACAGTAAGTGATGTCTTCTGCATACAGTAAGCGGTGTCGGCTGCATACAGTAAGCGGTGTCGGCTGCATACAGTAAGCGGTGTTATGTGCATACAGTAGTGCTAAAAGTTAAATCATGTATTTGGGAAGTAGTTTTATTTACTCGTATTCAGAATTTTGCATCATCCCCTTTTCCTAGATACATGTACTTGTTTCTGAATAATTGCGTTTAATGCGAAGAAATGGTCAACTGTCGCATATCGCTTGTGTCTCTGTGATTTTACTATTCACGATTTTGAGAAGTGTATTTGAACTTCGGTAGTTGTAAAAACTAAAAAATATTTACACGTAAAAGTACTTAAGCCCAAAAGAACACCTATTGACCATCGTTTCTGAATACTGTTTCTATACGATGTAAGTAGCAGTATAGTATAGTATGAGTAAACACGCCAATATAATGCTGGGTATCTTTCAAATAAGTGAATAACATCTACATCCTGAGAAGTGAACATCAATAGCAAAGGCGACTCATAGAAGCCTTTCTAATCTTGTGTGTTGCCTGGAGTCAGAGTCTTAGCTTGTATATAAGTGATTATGACAACACATCCATATTAACCTGTAGCTCTTATTTGACAATGTTCCACTAAAACCCGCCTCAAATACACAATATGCAGTTCTCATGTTTGCAGTTACTATGTTAGGCCATAGAAAATTATATTTGTCAGTTGAAATCCATGCATGACGTTGTAGTTATATTGTCATCATAAAAGGGCTGTTGTGCAAATCGTTTGCTCCGGTGTGTTATTACCTTAAATTTAATGGTGAGTGGGGCACACGCTTTTAGATTCTTCCAATGTGATTCTATAACAACGTGTTCCTACTTGGTGTAACAACTAATCAACTGAATACATGGAACATGTTTTGAAGTGGGTGTAGTTGTGGCGCAAAAAGCGTGGGCCTCGTGACTGCATCTTTTGTAATCAGTCACAGAATTCTATCACTTATGCTTCAAGTTATACGCATCACGAGTGCCTCTCCAGGGAGCGTTGTTGGGTTCCGTGGAAATCGAGTTCAGACTGCCTATCAATTAATCGTCTTATTGTTATTTGTTATATACACACACATACACGTCAACACTGGTTGAAACACACATATTCAATTATTATATAAATCGCATGAATATGTGTGAAACAGTAGGAAATGGTTCAAATACACAACATAGTTTAGTTGTTATTATTCAAGATGGTAAATGACATTACTTTTCATCAACTTGAGTGGTCTAAATGTATACATGTCTTAGAATAATATGTTGCATTCGCATACGAATAAAGGAGACAGAGGTTAATTAAGTATATCTATATATGGGTAACGCTCGTTTGTTTATTAATAAAATTGCCATAAAATAAATTATTATTTAGTATTATGGTCGACGAACTAAGGATGCTTATCCACGCAAATGTGAGAAACAAAACGAGAGTATGTCTACGAGATCGAATACAGAGAGGTGATTTGTTCTTGTTTTTGTAGTAATACCATATTTTTGCGACGACGACCGACGTGATTTGTTTTTCTTTAACTGTGACTTTTCGATGAATGTCACAAATGAAAGTTTTCCTGTTGTCAGGTGTGGCATTTTGGCATGGCTGTTCTTCTAAGAGGAGATGGCTAAACACGCACAGGTTATTTGACGTGTTCGATCGCTAGCTACACATTTGTTTAGCTTTGAAGTAGTTAAATACGTCAAGAAAATAAATAGAATGTTATATATTATGTTGAATGAAAGTATGTGTTGAATGTTCGTGTTCGACACGATTTCGCTTCACGTCACGGCACGTCTTCCGCTTCGTAGAGATCGTTGAGTTGACAATCACATTAGCTCTGCGTGTATATGTGGAGGTGCTTGTTCTCATTTGGACCATTTCTAAACCTTACAAATCCTCATACAAAACCTCATACAAAGTGTTACTTTTGGATTTCCCCAATATAGTTTAATTACCACTACGCTGGCATACGAACGTGACCATCGCTAAAAATTGGTAGTCACGCTTGATTCAAGATGGCTGCCATGTTTTGTTGGCATACATTTCCCAACTTAATATAGACAAGACATAAGTTTATAAACAGATCGTTTATTTAATTGATGCAATTGATACTCAAAAATAAAATAAATGAATATTTCCCACATTCTTATCAAAATGTGGTCATTGAAATATGTCCCAAATTGGTCTGAAATATGTCCCATTTATATTTCTGAAGACACATATTTTAGACCTGTAAAACATGTTTGGTAAATCAAAGGTATTTTATGCATACATGTATACCTTGTATATATACATATATAAAGCATATTGTTCCCCTAGTAGAGTAGCATTGCTGCAAGTTATGTTTGAAACATGACTAAAACATATCCAACGATAATCAATATGTTAAAATTATTTGCAGAATAGTTTGATTGGTGTAAGCAATATATAAGTCTTGAAAACGTACCAGTAAATTCCCAAACCTTGCTTTCTATGACAGGTATTTAAAATACAATGTCGGACAGTGGCACGTTATCAAAAAAATAGAACCAGACATAACATCATGATATCTCGCAATGTCTCATGATATTTTGAGAGATCTGGAGTTGGTCATGCTGGAAATCAAAATGACAGACTAGGATATGAGTTATGTTACATTTTGCATTTCGCCATAGGAATGTATTTGTTCCACGTCTGCTGATAATGTTGTGTTTTAGAAAACCCCAATGACCGTGCAGGCGTGCCGTCAAGTCTAAATGTCTTTACTTGTGTTTTGAAAACGCCCATGAAATAAGTAATGAAATGATTACGTATGTTAACATTCCAAGTATGCACCTCCACGCATCTTGACTGTGAGTAGATCGGCGTAGCGTAGTTTTAAGCCGCTACATGCTATGTTCTTACAGAGTTGTGACTAGTTCTCACATGCTTTTGATTGGCTCTGACATACTTGTGACTGGTTCTCACATGCCTGTGACTGGTTCTGACATACTTGTGACTGGTTCTTACAGGTTTGTGACTGGTTATTACATGCCTGTGACTGGTTCTTACAGGTTTGTGACTGGTTCTTACATGTCTGTGACTGGTTCTGACATACTTTTGACTGGTTCTTACATGTTTGTGACTGGTTCTTACATGCCTGTGACTGGTTCGTACATGTCTGTGACTGGTTCTGACATACTTTTGACTGGTTCTTACAGGTTTGTGACTGGTTCTTACATGCTTGTGACTGGTTCTTAAAGGTTCGTAACTGGTTCTCACAGGGTTGTGACTGGTTCTTACATGCCTGTGACTGGTTCTCACATGTCTGTGACTGGTTATGGCATACTTTTGACTGGTTTTTACATGCCTGTGACTGGTTCTTACAGGGTTGTGACTGGTTCTTACATGCCTATGACTGGTTCTTACAGGTTTGAGACTGGTTCTTAGATTCCGAATGGTTATTATAGGCTAGTTGGAGCATAATAATTAGTTTCAAAAGAACAGAATAGAAGAGACATATAACAGATTAAATTAAGTAGCAAAGTATGTCTTACAAGGAATATTGAAAAAGAAATCACATAATAGTAGGTGTCAGCTTCTCAAAGAGAGGTCACATAATGATCGACATTCATTTACGTCCAGTGGATTAAAGCACATATGTATCAGTGATCGACAATCTTTAACGGCCTTTAATAATAATCTTCTCACCGACACTACGATAAATAATTTCAGTTTTCGATATTGTGGAATTCTTTCGTTTTTTGGTAGAACAAATATGAACAAAAAATGATTATGACACGACAAACTATGTAGTGTGTTCAACAACTCATGTACGAACAATGACTTTGATAAAGATGATTTTACTTGAATAAAATACTGCAAAAACACTGTAATTTCCTGCATGAAAACGAAAGAATTTCACAATGCCCAAAACGAATTGTCTTTATCGCAATCTCTTTTAATCAATGCATAGAATGTGGTCGAATGCTTTTGAAAAACTTCGCTAACGTATAACGTATATCATTGTAAAATTCTGAGGGTGATGAGACTACAGCAACTGTACACATATCAAACGATATTCTTATCCAAGTTACTATGAGAATACGATACATATATATTATTGGTGAATTTGAATAGATTTGAAATAGAAAAACGCAAGACGGCTCGTGTAATAAGAAATCAATTGATACATATTCGTGAAATGAAGCAATCGTTTCCCAATCAGATTGTGCGTGCTGACCTTGCCGGCCTTTTACCTCTAGAACAATTTATCATCCCATCATTCACAAAATGCCTACAGACTAATGTAATTACCGTGTTCTCTGGTGAGAACAGCGTGCATACACAGAATAAGTTGTAAGCAATTTACCAATACATTGGTGCTGTGTTGCTTGAGAGCATTATGCAATCCCGTGGCAAAACAGATTAGCTATGCATCTGTTGTATAACTACGTACGAGAATTCATTTAAGGTGTAGTTGCAGTCAGTTGGAGCTCTACTCTTTTGTTTGTTTTCTTTTATTTTCTTCAATCGAAACAATCTTGACTTCACTCTCTTATAATAGATATAGTTTTTAGGGTAGAATGGAGGAAAGACGGCCAACAGTTATGACATAAAACACTTTCACAAATTTTGGAGATAACAGTTTTAAGGATGATTTGATACATATTTGGACTAAGTCGTATTGGAAAATAAATATTAGTCTCTTGGATAATAGGAATTATGTTGAATCGATTACGGCAATTTTCAAATCTGGATTAAGGTGTTTGATGACAAAAGATATCATAAATGATTTGTTTTAAATACAAGATTGAAAAGCATCATATGAAATTCTCAAAATGATCTTAAAAATGAATATAATGACCTAAAAATAATTCGATCAAGATTATATTAGGCACGGACTGCGGAGTACAATGCTATGAGCAATAGTTCACTTAAAGGCCAGCTGGTTTGATTAAAGTGAAAACATTTTTTTCGGATCATAGTGCCATAATATAAAGAAACTCTAAATATTACTTTTCATCAATTAAATCACAGTTAGTACTTGAATACGATGCTAAATGACACATTACCTTGAATGTGATATGTGACGCCTTGACAGTCTCTCAAGTACAATTGTAAACAAAACTGAAATGAGTGATCCGTTTTCAATCAGAACATGAAACAAATCACATGTGATTGCAGAGTATAAGCAATCATTGTGATATGGAATTAATTCCATGCAGTCAGTGAAGAGGCATAGGCATTAGCGGCTATGATCATCAACCAGCAAATGTCCAACACGAAATATATTGACAACCAAACAAGTATATGCATATTTACATTAAAAACGCATAGCATAACATTTAATTATATTTTTATGTAGCAAAATCAAAATGGTCGACATTCACATGCACATGCCCAGGTGTGAGAGAATTCATAAGCTGGAATAATTGAAGTTCATATTCTGCTTACACGGGCTAATATGGAACAGTATGGAATTATATATCTAATAAGAACAGACATGGTTCAAAACTAAATCACGTCTAATCATCTACTCAAATATACCTTTTTACTAAATTTAATTAAAATCTGATGAGAGGGATTCAAGACTTTGTTTACACAGATTGAAATGAGATAATTAATATGCAAATTATCTATTTAATATGCACATATATGGCCCAAAACGAATTATGTCTGCGACCTACATTTAGAGGCACTTGTCGTGGTTTCAAATCGTGTGTTGTAATGTTTGAATTTTTCGCATACTAGTAGTTTGCCTGTAAGCTCATCAATTATACACAGTGATTGTCTCAGCAGGTTAACACAATTATCCCTAGAACAATCTTAACTGTGTAAAGGTAGGGACCGTGAATACTTGGCTTGTGAGTGTTATATATACTATACCTTTTTTCATATATATATATATATATATATATATATATATATATATACGAGATTCATGCTTCTGCAATAACTAGTCACTGTGGGACGTGCTTGTAACATTCCATTTGGAACAGTTGTTTAAGAACAATTAATGTGGTAATGAAGGTAGCAAAATGCTTTGCGTTTTGATCTTGAGTTCGAATCGTGTGTTTAGTTGTAATGTTTATATCATCACCTAATGTGAGCCACAATGTGTCCGTTAATGTTAACATGTCCGTTGTGTAGCTGTATATTGAACTGATGTCTTCACACTGTCTGGAATAGTTTCACGAAATCCTCGTTACATCCTATATCTCCAGTCCGTTTCATTTAACTACTCTTGACCTTCCTACATTGCGATGACAATATCCATGAAATCAAAGTATATTGTAACTCGCCATTTTAACATTGTATTATACCGTGACTAGTCACTTTTACAGTATCTTGTATCCTGTTG